ATTCGAGATGGGGGTCGGCGACGTTTGGCTGTAACGGATGGACTGTGACGTGCATCTGCGGCAAGCGGCGAGGCTCGTCAGCGTGGTGCAGGCCGCCCCTGTGGTGCGGCACGGGCGCCCAGACGAAGTGGAGGATGATAAAGATGATCTGGCAAGCAAAGGAAAGACCGAGGACAGTGGAGGATCCCACGAGGAAGCTGTTCTGATCGGCACCCATGACAGAGTGGGGGAGGTCGGACGCCGTCTTGCTCAAGCAAACGACGGCAGCTATCGATGCGGCTGTGGCGACGACACAGGCCGCCAGACTGATGCCGAACACGACGACCGGGCTCCGTGACGAAACCGCCCGGGCGGTGAACACGTACCTCGAGTACGACCATGCCAGGATGATGAGCACGAGACCTTCCAAGGCCGCCGACACGCCAGCGGCGGCCTGGACAGGGGATGTGCGAGAGATGTGCGTGGCGAGCACAATGTGGACGATCAAGTTGGCAGCCGTGGCAAGGAGGGCGACGGTACCGATCACCAGCGGTAGAGCCCGAAGGAAGCTCATCGTGACGGGTGTGCTGTCAAAGCAATGCAGATGAATATGGTGTGGAGGTACAAATAGTGATGCGACTTGTCAGTCAAGACAGGCTACAGATATGTCCCAGTCCGGGGGATGCGGCGCCTTGGTGTTGGTGGTGTAGAGAAGTAGAGGCGGAGACTGAAGGCCCTCGCGGTTCCGAAGTGAAGGTTTGTATTGGTGTTGTTGGCGGACGGCTCAAGAGCTGTATACATGGGAAGAAAGTGGTGAGTTGTTCCTCTTGGGATGGTCGACGACTGGGCCGGGACTCGAATGTAGTGGGTTTAACGTATTGGTGGAGGAAAAGACGGGATGCCAGGCCTCCAGGTGCGTGGTGTGAGTGGCTAGGCGTGAGCGAGTGAGCCAGTGAGTGAGTGTGAGCGAAGTAGAGTTGAAGCGAAGGACAGTAGGATGTTTCAACCGCCGGAGGTCCGCACTATGAGGCCTGGGGAAGAGGTGATCTCGGGGACTGCGGAGAGGAAGCAAGAATGAGAAATGACGAGCGAAGCCGGCAGTGTAAGAGGGAAGCTGGGGGTCATTGATTAAAGTAGGTATCCCAATGTCGTGGGCCACGCCTTTTTTCTCGGCTGGGAGCGTGGCAGCTTGGATGTTGCTTGTCCTTGTCCACCTTTTTCTCCTCCTCCTCCTCCTCCTCTCTTCTTCTTCTTTTTGCTCCCTCCCTTTCCCGTGAGTACCTTGACCCGGCTCTGGGTGTGGTGGGGGGAGGGGGTGTGCATCGTGTTTCCACCCAGAGCGCAGCAGCCCAGATGCAGGAGGATCGAGAGTTACGCACACACCTCTTCCACCACGACCGCCTGGCCCACGGTCTTCTCACGACGGGGTGGTGGACCGCCCTGGTGGAGGTGCAAGGATCATGGCGATACCGCGGTGGGGGCATCTGGAGCGAAGCTGCGAAACACCGACCGACATCCCTGTCCGTGCTGGCGCAACCCAGGCCTGGTTCTGGATGGTGTGCTGCAGGGTGACGAGAGAGTGTCCTCATGGCAAAGGTAAAAACAGCACAATCGCAGCGGACAAGAGGGCCAGAAGCGCATGGGAAGACACCATGGCAGATTGCGAATCATGGAAAGGGTTGGGAAATGATCGCGTGGTCGACGCGACGGCGACGCGAAACGAGACACAACAGTCCAATGGTCCAACAGCCAACGAGGAGCCGTTGCAGCTCGGCGAGCACCAATGCTGGAGCTAGAAGCTGCCGTACATCATCGCAATCTCGAGTATCCCCCCAATGGGCTTGGATGCAACTCTGCGCCGTTGGGGCGTATGTGTGTGTGTGTGTGTGGTACCGACAGATGGCCAAGGAGAGCCTCGCTACCGACGACATGGGTTGCTCCTCGAGGAGAGCGAGCCACCCAGCTGAGCACGCAAGCCTGCTGTTTGCTCGCTACCTTGACCTCACTGTGCAAGACAGAGAAGTAAGGTTCGCATCGACCGGTCTTCGAGTCAAAGTGAGCACCTCATTGTCGCCTGATTCCAGACAATAGTCTGCCGGCTACGACGTGGCATGACTCTGGCCTGCCTATCTGCCTTTTCGCATGCATGTGTATTACCTGCAAGAACCAGCCCTTGTCTTGTGTAAGCCAGATCCAGACTCTGAACTGCCACCACCACCATCACCACCACCACCACGATGACGATACCCGAGGCGTTTGTTTTTTTTCTTTCGCTCTTCTGGCTTGCCCAAATTCTGCCCTCGCTCGTGAGCTTCCCCTCTTTCTTCATCTCCGAAACGATTTAGTGCAAAGGTCGGCGACGCCATTAGACAATTTGCGCCATGGTCAGCTCCGTCCGATGAAGCCTCACCTGTCACCTCTTTTTCCCTCTTTCATAACACGGGTTTGTTTACTTGCGGCCAGAAGCGGACTGACACCGTTACAAGCAGTGGGTTCTTAGGTCGTGAGAGGGGGAGCGCCCCTCCGCACCGAGAGCCAGCCTCATCCCAGTTCCCAGTTCATAGCCGGGTTAGCCCCATCTCTTACCGCAGCGAAAGCCTCCCTCAACCCGCCCACCCGCTCGCTCGCTTGCTCGCCCCCAGGTCTTCCGTGCGCATTGTTGTTTTGTTGTTTATTTACAATGCTGTGTTATCACCATGGGACAATGGGACAAGGGAGCGGGGAGGGAGGGCGAGAGAAAGAGAGCAGAGCTTTATTTTCTTGTACTGCATGCATAGTCAGCAAAAACATGGCGCATGCGATCACCTCTGCACGAGCTCCAGCCAGAAGCGGGAGCCCGGATGTCGAGCCTGGTCTGCGTAGTACATAGTAGATGCAGCCGCCTACCTCTCTACCTTAATGCAAGGTAAGGTACGGTACCTGACGAGGTATGGGGGCAGGATCGGCCGGAACCCTGGCCATGATCAGAGTTTTTTTTTTTTTCTTCCGTCATCCTCAAGGAAGCAAAATGAAAGGTCTTTTCCCAGTTGCACCCAATTGACCCGGCTGCACAGAGGCTCATCATCAGAATCCCTGCTCATGGGAGGGATGTAGGGGCCAATGGAGGAGGAGGGGGGCGTAGAGGGGCTGTGAGAGAGAGAGGAGGATCCGGAACTGCCAGAAGCAACGCACATGTGCCAACGAGCCACAGGCTGTACGCCATGGTCATGCAGGCCCCCTCAGCATCTGCCGGTGCCGTCGGCTTCTGGCACCCACCACACCCTTTTCCCGGTGCGCATCTGCTCCTCTGTTGTTCTCCCAAGTCTGGGCAAAGTTGGCAGCGAAGAGGGGCCCATCCACGGCTTCAAGGTGGGACTCGTCGTGGTCTTGACAGATTGTGGGGAGGAGGTAATTTTGTGTCCTTGTTTTCATATACGCCCCTCCTCTCGGCTTCGTTGAGTACCTAAGCGGGAGGGGAAGCCTGTCGCCTGCTGGCATCTTGAGGTCAATACTGACATGTAGCTCGAGGGGTCATGCTTGTTTTCCTTGTTGTCGTCGGTTCGGCGACAACCTCTTCTCGGCAAAGGAGCGAGGTCGGCTATGTTCCAGACATTTGATGTATGCCGTAAGTCCTCTCTGTTCACCTGTTGCATGACAGCTGAAGCAGCGGGTAGCAGCAACGGCACAACGCGACGGGATGAAGGGAGGGAGCTGGGCCTCTTCCCCAGGTCCAGGGTAGACAGGCAGGGGGAAATGGCCTCCTGGGGGCGAAGCTGCGACATACAGATAATAACGACAGGCCATCAAAAGAAAGTGATTGAGAGAAGGAAGACGGCGTCTTCCATTGGCTGATGGAACATCACCAGTGTCTCATAGGCCGGCGGCCAGGGGGATGGGGAGTTAAGGGGCCAGACAGCTAGGTAGAGGGGACAGCTTGCGTCCCAAGCTCCCCTGATGGCAGCGTGGCATTCGCACGAGCAATGAATGAATGGGGTGACCTCGTCGGACCCTGCTCCGACTATCAACCCGGGCTACAGTACACATTCGCCGATTTGTGCCGATGATGGATGAAAGCGCGCACAGCTTTTTTCCCCTTCCTCTCCGCGCCGCTCACCCATCTTGTGGAATCATTCGGATGAGTCAAGGGCACCGGACGGCAGATGGTGGCAGCGACCCTGAAGCGATCAAGGTGAGACAAATCGCCGTACCGCACCGCAGCGCACCACACCACCACCCAGTCCTGCTACTACACCTACACCATCCAGGTGAGGGCCCGGTTGGGTCGTCCGCGGGGCCAGCCTGCAGTCTTGATTTGCTCGACTCGGGGCAGTCCGGTACCTGCATGTAGGGCTCAGATGGAGCTCGGCCTTGTGCGAGGCGCTGGCTGGATGTGAAGAGGGTGGGACTCGAGGCAGAGCTGGTCACTGACGTCGTCCACTAACTACCTCAACCTAGCCGTGGAGACAGTTGTTGGGTTCTCACTCCGCTGTACCCAGTATTTCCAGAGTCGAGACCGTTCTCTCACCTGTCGGCCCTCTGTTTCGGCTGGGAAAGGGCCTGCAAGTCATGGTTCCGATCATCGTCATTGGGACAGGGCCTGCCTCACATGGTGGGAGCCGCGGGCACGGCACGGGCAGAAAGGCCTGGGAAAATTCTTGGTCATCTTCCCCCGAGGCACCGTTTCGATGACGATCGATTTCGATTCGGGAAATGATGAGAGGCGTTGTATAACTGAATTGCCGAACTAGATAGGCTCCAAAGCCTGCTTGACAGCGCCTGACATGACTTGACATGTCCCGTGGGACAAGCTTCGGATCGAGAGAGAGACACACGCCCTCCCTGTCCTCCGGGGTAGGTACCTTAGGCAGGGCGGCGCGGCCAAATGGAGAAAAGGCCATGTGCAAGACGAAGAAGGTTAGGGCACGGCGCAAGTAAGTAAATTTGACAAAGGTGAGCCGTTCGTCAGGGCCCCGCGCGAAGCAAGGACGGAAACCATTGATGCACGACAGATTGATGAAAGAACCGATCCATCGGCCTCCGCTTTCTGCCCTGCAGATGGTCCCGACGAACTGCTTGCACACAACAAACAAACAACGCAGTCGAGCCAGCAACCCAGGGTTTGGTCCCGTCGCTGGGAAACACAACATCTAAGCTTGAACTGAGGACGCCCCGTCCCGCCAGTGCGGTAGTTTCAGAAAGGCGAGGGAGCTAGAACACCGAGGAGATCAGAGCGCGTCTGGGTCCTGTCTTTCTGCTCACTGCTATACTGGACGGTCGGGGCTTTTCCTTCTGGATGTTTGACTCGCGCTCGTCCTCGTCGCAGTTTGACGAGACATGATCAAATCGGATTTCGTCGAAGGAATGGATCGCAGCACCCACGTGTGATTTTCCCTTTACGTCTGACTTTCTTCACATACACGCCCGATCCTGTTGGCTCGGGGTACTACTCAGATTGCTTTCTCTATCTGCTTCCCTTCTTGATTTCCCCCTGATGTGACGCTGGCCCTTCCCCGGGGCACGGATCCTTGCTTAACGTAGCCATCGTCGCGAGTCAAGGACCACACCACTTCAGATGGCAGAGAATAGAAGCACAGGTGCGCTGCCAGGTTGTCAAACAAGACGTCCAAGTGCCTACTTACCTCAGAGGCGTACATGCACTCATTCTCTCCTCCCACCCGCCTCAAATCAATCCTTGAGCCCTCGTAGATGTCCGATGTCCGAGTGTGCCCATACCATCCAGGTAGGGCTAGTCATTCAACATGGCGTGGACCAAGAGACCCTCTTGGTGCCCAGGACCCTTCCGCCTCAAACACCGGTGCCACTCCGGCCCGCAGCGCCCTTGTCCGTGTTGGCGTGTGTGCGAGTGTGTGTGTGCCCTGACCACTCCGCGCCGCGCCGGCAGCCTGCCGCGGTTTTGTGTGCAGCTGTCTCTGCTCACGGCCTCACTTCAGAGCCCTCTTGGAAGCCATGGAATCCCCTCTGGCGCGTGTCGATCCGTTCCCTGTCCTCGGGCCTCATTTTCTTCGCCGTGTTATGACAAGTGTTTCGACCTGACGTGACGGGATGAGTTCTGCTTTGACAGCTATAGGATCTGCGGTTGCTGGGCAATGTGTGCAGGCGACGCGCCCAGACTGAAGATTGACTCGGGGAGGGGCCGGGCTAGGGCTTCAAGCACCGTTGGAAGAGCTCGTCGGAGAGAAAAATCCAGGTGGCTGGGGCGGACGGGCGTCGGTGCTCAACGGGGTCGAGAGCAGGCCCCTTTTGCGCCCCTAACGCGTGGGCGACGCCGGAGTGTCCCGGAGGTGTGACAGCGCGTAAAGTGGTTTTTTCCCTCTCGCTCTCCCCTCGGTTCCCGCTTAACCTCCACCACGCGTAAAGTGCCCGGCCGACGTGACTCAGGGGGCGTGCACATAGAGCCAGGAGCCACACATCAGTGTACTCTATTCTCGAATCCTGCAGGAGATGAAAGGATCCTTCTTCGAAGCTTCTGGGTCGTGGGTGTGTGCCAGGCCAGTCTATGACAAGGAGGGGACGGCAGGACGAGGGGGGTGGTCCCTGCGACTGCCCCCCTGGTGCATGGCGAGAGGTGAATACTGTGCAACAAGCCTCCTTCGCGATTTTTACGTTTCTTTACCAGAGAAGGTGGTGAAGGTCCCGGGAGTGCCAGCTCTCCTCGCCTTGCAATGCCGACGATCAAGTTCAGACAGCGTGCGCGGTGCCCGGCACTGACTCTGCTCCTTGCCATTTTGTAAATTGCAGCAGTGCGGCGGGATGCTGGGCGGGAGTACCCTGGGTTCTGTTCCCCCCCAGTCGAGGCTTCAACATTGGGTTCGCCGTGACAGAGTGCTCTCCCGTCCCCCTTTGCCCTTCAACGGCGACCATGTTTCTGTACAAGTCAGCATCCTTGCCGTAGGTTCGTCTCCCGTGTGCCCGGATATTACTGTCAGACCAGTCCTGCATCCGCGCGGTTGCGTCGGCGATTTACTAGTTCGAGTGATCGTCACTGCCAGGGCCGGGGGTTGCTTCCCGGCACGCTGGAGGCGCAAGCGTCATTAACTGGTAGGCTCTCTTCGTGCCTTGTTCTGCCTCGTCGGCAAGGCCTCGAGCGTCTTGGCCTGCTGCGAGATTATTCATTTGGTGGGAGGGTTCGGGCCGGCGTGGCAGTCGGTGGCTGACTGGCTTCCGCGGTGCGCCCTTTTGTACCACCAGGCCAATATGATGAAAGGGCATTGCTCTGTTGTACAGGCTGCAATGAGTGATGAAACCTCCGAAGCTAGCATTGGATCCTTGCTACGAGCCACGGCGTAGACAAGGTTGCCGCAGTTGGACTTGGTTTGGTAATGCAGCGCCACATCTTGTCAGTCCCGCGAGACCGGACACATGTGAGAAGCTGTACGAAGTTTCGTAGTGTGGCTGGTCATAGATCATCACCAGAGACTGAAGCGAGGGCGCACGCCTGATGAATCAAAGACGACAGCATGCTCCTATGAGGCCTGGCGCATTCATTGTAGGGACTTCAACACGCTGCGTGCTGCACGGCGTCGGAAAACTGATGTTGTCGACGACACTGCGCTACAAACACTTCCAGGATCAAGTTTCAATATCATGGATGCGCGGTGTAGACATGAACAACACGAAGCAACGCTGGTTTCGAGTGCTCACGTGTTTGTCAGTATATTTCTGTTTCGTTGCCAACAAATCTACCTACTATCGTCCAATGAAACTCAACAAACAGTCGTGACATACAGAGTGCAAATAGCACAGACGAGGCTGCTTTCTCTGAATTCATTGATGCAGGTTCGCTCAGAGTGGAATGTGAGCTCTCCTTAGCAGTTGCCATTAGAAAGTATCTGACTTGTGTTGCCCGCGCAAGCCATTTCGATCCAGCACCATTTCTAAGGCAAACACGGCTGTGGATTCGGGATATATCAAAGTCCTCCATATTCCATGGTCGAAATCAGCACTCTTAATTCGAATTGGGCTGTAGGTGACAGGTCATTTAGCACGGCAGCGCTTCGTTGCACGCCAACCCTGGCCTGACATGGTACGTATGCCTGAAGGCTATAAAAAAACGAGTTGCGTCCATCACATGCCAGTGTGTCTGACACCACATGAGATGCACCGCGGCAGGAAACCGAGAGAGCTGGACACTCATGCGCTTCGAAGATGGTCGAGCGTCGTCAAGTGATAGGCAAATCTTCTGAGCGCTTCCGTGAACATGTGACACGATGTAAGCCACGGCGTCCTGCAAGTCCTCGATCGGCCAACTGATCACGTAGACACTGTGTTTCACATGCAAGTCAATCGGAAATTGTCAATCGACAGAAGATGTAAATAGACTCAACATCCATCCATGTTTCGCAGAAAGAAAACGTCCCGTGTAAAGCCAATGCATCTATAACCTATGCTGGAAAAGGCCCTCTCGAAAACCGTCGCACTGTTCATGCAGGGGTTCGTGGCCGGGAGAAAAGGAGATGCTGCCTCTATTTGGGGGGGGGGGGTATCAAGATGTCCATGCCAGTCCGTTTCGAGCTCTGCCCTACCCATGGTCGACATGTCTTCATGATATAGTGTGACGATGTGGTCGTCTGTTGTGTCCCGTGTGGCGCCAATGGCGGGCGGGTGGTGTGCTGGTGTTTGTCCCACGTTTGTGTCGCTAGAAGGGCGAGCTAGGAGGTGGTGTTGACGCCGGTTGCCTTGAGCGTCTTCGTCGTGTCAATCACGGCGGGCATGGCAATCTTGCGACCCTGGGCCCTCTCGGTCAGGCTGACGAGCTCCCTCATGAAGAGCTCCTGTGTTGACCTCGTCAGCTCGTCGACATCGGCCGACGTGAGGCCTGTGGTGGGAATGGGGTCGAGGACTAGCGAATGGGTTAGCATCGACTTTCAACATGACTGGTGACGGCACCAGACATACCTTTAACGGGTATTTTCCCGCCGTTGAAGACGAGACCCTTGACCCAGAGAATGTGGCTATAGTTGGCAACGACGCAGGGCACAATGGGGACGCCGGCCTGGACGGCGAGATGGAATGCGCCCTTCTTGAAGGGCAGCAACGTCGGGTCCTTGGCGTAGCTGCGCGTGCCCTCGGGAAACATGTACACGCTCTGCTTGCGCGCCTGCATATCTTTGGCGGCGCCGGCCATGGCCTCGCGGGCATCCTTCGAGTTCTTGCGGTCGATGAAGACGGAGCCGCTCAGGCTCATGAACCAGCCGAGGAACGGCGTCTTCTTGAGGGAAGACTTGGCGGTGACGCTGCAGTTCTTGGGGAAGAGGGCGCCGAGCATCAGCACGTCGAGCTCGGTCTGGTGGTTGCCGATGAAGACGGCGGGCCGTGTCGTCTCCAGAATATTCTTCGGGTCCTCGATCTCGAAGATGACACCGGTGGCCACGAGCATGATCCATTTGAAGAAGCGGGCCGTAGCCCACTGGGAGCTGCCGGGATTGCCGATGAGGCGCAAGAGTATGGCGGCGAGGGCGCCGTACAGGGCGGCGGCAATGAGACAGACATAGGCGGCAAGGACACGCGCACCGAAGGCGGCCTTGGGAACGACGATAGATAGCATGTAGAGAGCAACTGTCAGGGCGAAGTAGCCGACGAAGAACTTGTAGAGATAACCGAGGATGCCGGACATGGCGACTTCGGGGGGGCCCGCGACGGGGTAGGGTTCGGTCAAGGGTCTGGCGCTCGCGGCAACGAGGTTCCAAGGCTGAGGGTGAAGGACGAGGCCGTGAGGCGGCGATGGCGGGGTGCTGTGGTTCGGTACGCGCTCTCGAGAAAACGGGGCGAGAACGGTACGTCGGGAAAGAGATGTCGGGGCTAATATGGCGATGGGGGTCGCATCATCAAACAAGTCGTGACAAAGAAGAGGAGTCTTGCTAACGAAGGATCCAGTTCGTTCAGGTTGGGCGAGGAGAAAGGTGAAGGGGTTGCAGCGCCTCACCGCAAGCAACTGGGACGCCAAAGGAGACAAAATGGCGGGTCACAAGTCCAACGGGCTGGGCAGGTGGGGTGGAGGAAGAGTGGAAGCTGCCACCCGCACCAGGCAAGCAACACCAGCAACAGTGACGGGGTGCTCTTTCTGGTGGGATGTGTGGCTCGTGCCCGATGTTGGCAGGTTGCTCATTGGTTGCGTGAGCCACATCACAGGATTGCCGAGGCTTCCCCAATGAAATTTCCCCATCTGCCTCCAACAAACGTGCCTGCCTGCGGTGTTCTGTCAGGTACGGTAGGTGCCTCCCATCAATCTTCCACTGTTTCGGGAGACACCTGCCACGAACGCACCTTACCGCGCAAGTAGAATTTCAGCCTCGCCCTGAGCGACGCGATTCTATGCGAGGAGCGAGGGTCCCATGGAAATCTGACCTGAGCCTGACACACCTCTCTGAGACATCGTCACTGCTGTGCTCTGTTCTTCTTCAAGCCTCCAAGCTCCATGCCAATCCCCCCACATCGTTCATCGTCCATCGTTCAGCGTTCAGCGTTCAGCGTTGAGCGTTCATCTTCCAGCGTTATCGCTATCTCTCGCTGCTTAGTCACTGCCCCCTGCGTGATCCCCCGACGACAGCGGCTCGTCTCGGGTGCTGCTTGCCTCCGTCAATTGGGCTGTGACTGACAGCCCTCGCAACTGTGATCGCACGACATCGAGAGAAAGGTGCCACGGCGATTTCCATTCTCGCTGCAGTCCGACCCAACTCGTCCCCAGCTCCGGCATCAATCTGGCCCGCACCGTCCCCGACACCAACCAAGGCCCGTCCCCGTCCAGCTCATCCGGCAGCTTGCATCTATCGTGCAGCTCGCTCCCAAGTCGCATGTCGCAGCGCCCCCGATCATGACCTTCGATTGATAGACCAGGCAAAACCCACCATGGACCCCTCACGTCGAGGCCAGCCTCGCCTCTCCGTACGCCTTCCCGCCGTCAACCTCGCGTCCGACATCAGCAACACGGTCGTCCCCCTCCCAGATCTGCCACCCATCTCGGCACTCTTTCTCATCGACTTTGACGTCAAGGCCGGTTACACAATCGCCTGGAAGCAGGCTGCCCCCGGCATCGAGCTCGAGGGTCTCGTCGAGTACAAAAGCTTGCCATCCGGCCTGCACACGGTTTCCGATGATCTCATCTATTTCGTCCACGAAGGTGCTCATGCCGGCTGAGCGCCTTCGTCAATATGCCCTGCGACGAAGGAGGATGCCCGCAATGCGCGCATGATTGCCCGTCGGTGTCCTCCGTGCCCCTGAGCTACGGAAGGCTAGGCCCGCGCCTGGCGTCATGCCGACGGGCTCAAGGAGCTGGCAGTGTGAGGCCCGATCACTGATCGTTTTGTCAAAGAACCCAGATGGCTGACTTGTCCCCCTATAGCAAGCTGGCAGAGGACCGCAAGCGGACTGGCCTCCTCGAGGCATACTGGTCAAAGGCCAAGAGCCAAGAGGAACCAGCCCCGGATCTGCGCCGGAGTGATGCTCTCCTTGAATCGCCTCTCGTGGGCGCACATACACCCAAGTTGAAGCAGGGTCACAACAGGAATCGCTCGGCGTCGGACGGAACAGTTCTCAGCCAACCTGGCAACCGTCTATCCTCACATCACCCTGCATGGAGCTTGATGCCGCTGCTCGACACATTTGGGCCACTCATCTTCCCCATCCACCGGGCCGCCCTCCTGCGGAAACGCATCTTGCTCTCATGCCACGCGCCGGTGCATGAGATGTGTAATTTTGGTTGGTTTTCCTGGCGCAGGCAGAAGAGAAGTGGCCGAGAGAATGCTGACCGCGTGCAGTATATAACATCTCAGTCCTCTCCAACATACCCCTCTCCGTCACGGAGATCTTAGGTTCAGACTCCCCGTCACAGCGTTTGCGACCGCTCTTCTCCATCGGCGTGCACGACATTAATTTCTTACAAGAAGATTTCGAAGCCTCCAAGCGCCCGAGGACGAAAACGGACAACAATGTGGCTGACGAAGCGGGCACTGGCTGGGTCGCTTGCACGACCGATAGCATCCTGGCCATGAAGGATACACTGTGGGACATGCTGATTACCATGCCACCCCCGTATGCGCCCAATGCAAAGGAAAAGGTCTGGCCGACCGTAGAATGTCCCCAGGGTGTTCCGGTTCGGGCGACCCAACGTGATCTCCGTCGGTTCCGCGCCCTCAAGGGTGGGCTTTCTCGCCTGAAGACGACGACGCCAGGGCCCCGTCCCGCCGCTGAGAGCCCACCAGCAGAACACACGCCAGGCATCCATCTCACGACGGGTGCCTTTCCCAGCACAGGCGTCGATTCGGACGAGGCGCTCGATAAGATTGTCGAGCCAGTTAGTTGGACTGCCGCTTGCCTATAGCGGCCTTTCTCTGGTGGGCAAGCGCAGGTGAGCAGGGTCGCAGCGATGAACAAGAGGAGGCAGCACTGGATGCGTCTCTACTGGCAGATCTGGGCCCTTCGACGCCGAGCATGTCGGCGCCATCATCAGGCCGAAGGCTGAGCGGCGGTATGGGTGACTCGGTCAATTCCTTGGCCGGACGTCGAGCTACGCTGTCGACTGATGACGACGAAGCCAGAACGGAACTAGCCATCATAGCCTACTTTCACCGCCTCACGACACAGATGCTGTCAGTCATGGCAGACGCCGTGGACAACTCGGAGCAGGAGCGCTACGAGGATGACGAGGACGACGAAGACACAGATGCCGCGGTTGACGAAAGCGAGGAAAGCAGTCCGCTCCAGCGGGGCGTGACTAGCAGGGAAGAGCTCGGCCCAGTCCAGCTCGGCAGTCACGCCGTGGAGAGCATGGGCCTCGATGTCTGGAACGGTCACGACGCCCACTTTGTCCGCGAGCTAGCGTCACTGTACTTTGATCGCGAGGTACGCATCGAGGGCAAGGGGGTCGAAGTTTGCGGGGTTCGCGTGTGTTGAGGAACCCGTACTGCGCATGCTGTGCGTAGTCTGGGTGTGGCGTTGAGGGGTTGGCCGATGGTACCACGGACACGATGGCGTCGTAAGGATGAGCGGGCCAGCCACTCCGACACGATTCGGACGTATTTGGGCCGATTCTGCGAGCGAAGGAGGGGGTGTCGAAGGGAGGTGACGAGATCGTCAACGTGATGGGCAAGATGATCGAGCCGTTTATTAGTGGTGGGAATTTCGGGCACTCGCAGCGTGGGTGAGAGTGTGGCTGACGCCTGTGTTCCCTTTTCGCACCGAATACTTCACCGCGGAAGACTTGGGTGGACTGGATAATCAGAAAGAACGCGCGCGAACGAACGCAGGCAATTCATCAGACATGTTGAGGCCAAGAAGCAAGCCACGGCGAACGAACCAAATGATCAGACGAAAGCATGGCAAGGTCCGGGGGGTTGTATGCCGATCGTGGCGGACATTGGCCCCCAAGGCGCAACGGCAGGGGGTCGATGACCACAACGGGTATGAGTACTCGACGAGGCAACGAGCTGCGTGCCCCAATCCAACCCCCCCGGAGCACAACGTCACACAACATGAGCGCAGACGGACCAAAACGGTCTGAATTGGTGCGCTAATAAGGCGCAATGAATGTGCACGAATCGACGGCGGCCGGCCATTTACGACGGGGGTCAGCGCTCCGACCAGAGTCTCTGGCCAAAACGTGGACCTGCGCCGCCAGCATCAGCATGGCTGGCTGTGACTGGACGACGTTTGTAACTACCGGGCCAGGGGCGGCTTGGCGTGCGACGTAGATGATGGCCCCCTTCTTCTTCTTGGCTACTTTGCTTCTTTCTGCTCCATGTTACTGATTGGGACGGTGTGCCCCGGACTTTCCCCGCAATCTGTGCCGCCCGAGGTTGATGGAGTACTTGTGCGAGGAGAGGGCCAGACAGAGAATGGTCGAGGGGGAGACGGGGGGGGCAGCGTGCCTAGTAGAAGCCGCGGGGTACTCGGTAATTGATGTGTGGGGAAGAATGCAGACTATCACCAATGCGCATGCTTTGGACTCGTGAATTGAGGGGAGAAACGAAAGCTTCTGCCAAGCCTTGTGGGGGAGAAGGGCTGACGTGGAGCTCTTCTCGGCCCAAGTTGACGCTGTTCTTTTCAACTGTCACCACAACTTCTCCCAACTCGAAGGAGGCGCGGGGGAGCTAGACTTAACTCAATCATATATCGTATACACAGGAGTCAGGTGTCGACTGCGCTGATTCAGGCACCTGGCGAAACAAACATTCCCTGGCACGACAAGGTCCCCCCCTGCTCGTCCTCGAGCTCGGAGTGTTAAGCATAATGTAGTTGCCACACCTGGTTGCCATTCGGCCCTGCGAGATTTGCGGTGCCGAGATCTCGCCTCCTCTAATCTCCTGGTGTTTGGTGTGCCTGCAAAAACCCCTTGACCATCTCAACTCCCAACCCTACCGCCGGGCCAAGAAGGCGTGGAATGGTCTGAATAGGGACAGGAGAGCGAGCGGAGCCGACAGCGGGCTGAGAAGGTCCCCAGCTTTCAGACTAACACAAACTCGCGGCTCAATCCCGTTATTTTCGCCGATTGAGGTTTCATTTAGTATAGTGTGTCCATCTCCTCCCCCTGGTCCGGCATGGCCCCCTGCCCACCCCGGTCATGCGGGAGGTCATGGCAGCTACAGACGGTCCAGCGCATGTTCGCCACGGGTTAGAAGGGGCCGGAGGTTGTCTGTCTGCTCGGCGCCTTGGGGATGCTGGGATTCGGGATCCTACGTGGATGATTGCTGCTCCTCTTTTTCTGGGTCAAAGTGATCTACCTCTGGCAGAGTCCTGGCAGTCGTGGGGCATAGAGACACCTCACATCGTCAAGGACGATATAAGACGCTCGACTTTGCCCACCTCTCTGGCATCACACAGGAACCTTGTCACCAGCCTCCACCTTCTCCTCCTCCTTTTCCCTTTCTCCCCACCACACCAGACGCAGACATGGTCAAGTTCTCCATCCTTACGAGCGTCTTTGCTCTGGCCTCGGCCGTCTCGGCCCAGTGCGGCTCCGGCACCCCTGACGCCCGGGTCACCAGCTCGGGCAGCACCTTCACGGCCACCCGTGGCAGCTCCACCGTCTACTCGGGCACCGACTACCGCGCGGCCATCCAGGCCGCCGTCGACTCGATCAACTCGGGCCAGCGCGTCTCCGTCATCGCCTCGGGCAGCATCGGCGCCAGCACCATCTCCATCGGCAGCGGCAAGATCTTCGAGGGCTGCGGCACCATCAACGTCTCGAGCCGCAGCGGCCGTGGCGCCATTGAGTCGGTCAACACGAACAATGTGCAGATTCCCTTCCTCACCATGACCGGTAGCCCCTACTTTGGTCTCCGCTTCTACGGCACCAGCGGCCTCCGCCTCGGCCGCATCACCATGAACCTGAGCGCCGGCCTCGGCATCCGGTTCGACCGCGACCAGGCGGCCAACAGCGACGTGCGCATGGACGTCATCAGCGTCACGGGCGCCAGCAGCCACGCCGTCGAGACGTGGAACATCAACGGCCTCAACATTAACCAGGTCATCGCCCGCAACTGCGGCGAGGCCGGCCTCCTGATCCAGGCGACGACCAATGCGCAGGTCGGCCTCGTCGACGGCAACAACGTCGGCACCGGCACCGGCTACGGCACCCTGCGCTTCGCCAACCGCAACGGCCGCAACTCGGCCGGCCAGTACCCCACCGGCAACATCAACGTCGACCGCGTCATCTCGCGCGGCGGCGGCCGCGGCGTCTTCTGCGTCTCCGAGTCCGGCGGCGCCACCATTGGCAACGTCGACCTCGCCAACAACGGCAACAACGCCATCCTTTATCGAGAACTGCTACAACGTCCAGATCCGCGGCGGCACCGTCAACGGGCGGCGGCGGAGGTCCGCCTTCGCGGCCCGCTCCGAGTTCGCCAACAACCGCGACATCTCCATTCACCCTGCGCG